ATTTTGAGACCAATCAGGCAGCAAATGTATTCCCAAAATTAAAGTGAATGTAATGAGATGCAAATTAGATATGCTATGCAGTTGTTGCACATATTAAAGATAGATGACACTTGTTTATTTAAGTGCATGACACTGTCTAGGGGGAAAAAAATACAAAAAACAGTAAGTTTCCATGTTTTAAAAGTAATCCATCACCAGATCTTAAGGACAAAGTAGCATTTTCCAGGGGCACAGGATGGCCATTTTCTTTTGTACAAGCATACATGAAAAGATACAAGGACCCTAATCTAAAGCCCACTGAAGCCCTCAGAAGTCTCTCCCTTCAAGTGAATGTGCTACGAACAGTTTCTTATATAGGTTTGATTCTTTTCATTGACAAGAGTGGAATCCTGCAAATACAGGTGCCTTAAGCCTTGACTGAGGGGTAAAACTCAGCAGAGTATCCATAAATAGCCTTTCTAGCCACTTTTTCCTTCTCTCAATGCCACGTGATAAGCTTACCCCCTTGGCGCAAAGACATGGATAGTTGAAAGACGTGCTGTTTGCTGGTCATTTTTCCTCTTTAAAAGATTTCATTTTTTAGACGGCGCCACCCCACAACAAGTATGGGCTAGATGACCAATGACAATCCCTTCCACAGGAACAGTAAAGACACTGAAATCCCATAGTGTAGATCTCCAGTCTATCCCCCAGCCTGATCCCCACCGCTATCCCATGCTGCACTCTGTCATGTACTTGACGCACCAGCTCTTCCTCCCCAGACAAAACATCTATTCCATATCAGGACATATCTAATGGAGTCCTCATTTCACTTCATTTGGTTTCATTCATTCATACAAAAAGCTGAGAAGTTCAAGACTTTGGGCCCTCTAACGTACGATAGACCTAAACCTGAATTCATTATAAAATCATGTGCGACTCCAGTGAGGCCTACAGGTGTATACTGGCATAAGATACACCTTAAACTACAGCTAAAGTTTCACAAAAATATGTCCTGAGAACAGTTTGTTTGTGCCAAGGTAAGGACTTGTTAGGATGATAATTGTTTTTCTTTTATGCATTATCCTGAAACTCCCATTGAGTCTTTGCAGTGACTACTACTCGCTAAGAACTCACCGATCTTGCCAAAGGTGATATCAAACATTTTACCCAAACTCTGCCCACAAAGCTTTCATCATACCAGCTCCTCAACCATCTCACTTTTATGACTCACCAGATTCAATGCTTTCTAGTTCCTAGTCTTGTCTCATTCGCTTCCGGTGGTTGATGAAGAGGAGCCAAAAGTCTGTTTTGCCACATTTATTTACATGTGGAAGGGGCATGACCAAGCAGAAGGTTTAACCTGTGAAAAGTGGCCCAAAACCAGTTTAAAAAAATGCCCTGATAGGAACTGGATTCACCAACAGTGAAAGCACAGCATCAACACCTTTACTGCGAGATTTCAGTGGGAGAGATCTTATCTAGGCATCCTTCTTGGCCAGTTTTGCCAGGTTTACAATATTTATTGTATTTGTACAATAATGTCAACCCTTGTACAATGCATGATACATAACACTAAAAGCGTTCAAAATGCATGATATTTTTGAGGCCGTTAATTCATGCAGCATATGCAAAACACAAGTCACTCTCAAGGAGTCTTAACTGACTTTTGGGTTCACTGTTAGCATCTCCTTATGACTGCTTGCCTCGAAATAAAGAAATGTGTCGACTGATGACCTAGTTCTCACTCATTTACTGGAGACTTACAGTGAGAAATATATAGTAAATAAAAAGACTTATTTGCATTTTTTTTTTTTAAGTGTACAGCAGATTTTCAGAAAATACAACAATTTCAGCTTCCAATATGGTAATTTCATATTGAAGACCTGGCAATGCTGATCTTGTCATATATTTCCCTGTGGAAGACTCCCACTTATATAGCCATTCAGGCATTGGGGCGTTTCCTCATATTGACACCAAACCCTAACAGGAAAAGCCATTCTCAAATTTTAATTTTCTGAGGCATAATTGTTATTTAATATCTTCATTTGCTAAAAGGGATCCATTTCCAAAAATGAATATAGAAAATGGAAGCTGCTTCATATTCCTTAGGTTCTTAAAAGAAAGACACCATAAACCCATCGAGAGCTGTGATAAATTAATGCAAAAAATGCTTAAAGGATGCAATAAGTTTGATGTATTTTATTGATCAAATCTTTTTTTGTTTCACCAGGAAATGATACTATTCCCCTTCTTCAGAACCTAGCAACATAACTGCTTTTCATCATTTCAAAGCATTTTCCTTGGAATGAAATATGAAGAGGAATTAGTTTTTCTTTTACCTCAGACCACTGCATTTCCATGCCTTGAATAGGCATTTCATTATTTCAAAATAAATATCACTTTCAATCAAATATTGATTTTATATGAAAGGAGAGTGATTAGGAATGCTCTATTTTTTCTCCAGAATAAAAGAAAGATGAGTAGAACAGGGTCATTCGTTTCTTCACAGCGAGCTAATTTTTCTTTGCAGCTCAGATGAGACAAGGAAAAAAAAAAAATCGGTTCCCTTCCTGATTGATTTCATGAGGGCATTTTTTGGAGGGGAATGCAAGACAAAAGGGAATGATAACCTACAGCAACTGTGAACACTTTTGAGTGATAAGCTTAGAGGAGTATGGTGATGAAAGCCAGGCATGTGCCTAGACAAATGAATGGTTTATTAGAATTTTCTGGAGCATTATGTTTGACTTTTCAAAAGGGCAAATTCACACTGCTGACTCCATGAGTAAGCTGTATTCTGATCCTAGTTACACCAGTGAAACCCACATATACCATCACACTTTCCAACAGAAGCCATGTGCCTGATTCTACAGTATGCCAGTTCATTCCAGTTGAGTAGCAACAAGCAGATCTTTCCTCTACATTTTCAGTGGCTAGAGCTTTTATCCTGCATAACCCAACTCATTTATTTATATTTTGAGTTTATTTTCTATCTTCATAAGGCACATTAGTTTCATATGTCATTAGGGTAATTCCAATTTAATTATGCTTTAACAGTGGTGCAAAATATTAAGGACTCAGTCACTTGTCCCAGAATGCACTGCTTTGATAGATGTGATTACATAGCACTGAAATATGAAGTCCAGCCATGAACCCATTGGAATACTGTGACATTTTTAACTACTGCTAATAACTTAATTCTCTGGTAGCTAACTTTGACTTTCCTGAGAGCCCACCTGTATGCAGCAGAAAGCCTACTTAGTGAGACATAATGGCTCACACCACTGCGAACAGAGTCCAAGGTTGCCAACCCCAAAACATTTTTTACTTACAACCTGCAAACTTTTTACTAAAAAAAATAAACATTTTTACTGGCACGTTTTTACTGACATGTTTTACATAATATAAATGTAACTGTTTTGCCAGGCCCCAGTTAGAAGGGGGGAGGGAGGAGGATCAAATTTAGTCGTTTAACACCAACTGTGGTAACAAAGTAAACCATGGTTGTCAGTAAAAAGTTTACATTGAAAAAAAAATGTTGGGCTGGCAACCCTGCTTGACTGGAACAATGCTTTTACACTGTGCTGCCCCCACCCCAGGGTTCTCCTCTTGCCCCCATATCCTGATGCTTCCAAGTACACCCTGCACCATGGTGGCTCCCCAGTCTTACCCCCACTGGGGCTGCTCCCTGTATCCTAGCACTGATTCCCAAATAAGTGTGCATATGACCCATAACTGTACAGGCAGCTGACATCACTCAGCAGCAGCACATGGCTACAGGAAAGAAGTCTACAAAGCCCTGAAAGAAAGCTCCTTGGAGGGTTCAACATTCCCATTTAGATACCAGGTGGCTTTGCTATGCTCTGCTGTCCATTAACTTCCCTCCAACTGCTTTCCAACCACAGACCTTCAATTGAGCTCCAGTCGCTTAATGTTTTATGGGTGGCTCTTTTTCTTTCTTAAACAGGTTTTACAGACAGGCATTTCTAGTCTGATTTTTGTACTGACTTTCCATAAATTAGCATTGGCCTCTGTAACAGTTAGCAACCCTGGAAGAGATACTCCAATATCAGTACCAAGACAGCACATTTTTTAGTCCCTAAATCCAAGAAGTGGCTATGGAATGCTTTGCCATTACCCACAATTTACTGAGCATCTATGACACTCTGCATAGAGCTTGGTGGTAGAAGAAAATGCCAACCCTCCAACACTTTTAAGGACATTTATTGTACTATATTATTCAGTCCTACTAGACAGCACTGAAGATGTCCAATATGTGCTCTCCTGGTAAACAAGGGATACAGAGTTGCTGAACAAACAGTGTGGAAGTATATTTGACTGTAACCGTTCCCCTTAGCAAAGCCTGTGCTTTAAAAAAAAAATCTGTGACTCAATAATATCATAACAACACTTGTATAGGTCATCTATACAATGCTAATTTACTCACAGCTCTGTACAGTACACAGTAGTCAACATTTTCACACTCTCAACTTACATTTTCCTGTGCTTTATATTTCATCTCATTACTCCTAATTAAAAAGTGACAGGTGGGCACTCTTGGTCTTGTTTAACTCAACATCTTAGATCTGCAGACCACACAAATCAGCAAGGCATAACTCCACATGGACTTCAGCAGAGCTATGCTGAATTATTCCAGCTTCGAATCTAGCTCCATGAAGTATATTTTCAAACATATTTTTCATGAAAGAAATGCTCTCTTTTATGGAGCCACTGTGATTACCTGTTCATGCCCTTGAGTATGGCATATTCATATTTACTGCCGTAAAAATGATGCTTCCTGCATTCATGGGATAATACAGCCTTTAAGTTCAATAGTTTTATGGCTAATTCAATCATCAGTATTTAAATCATGTATGATGAAGTATTAGCTCTTTAGAGCAATTGTATGTTGATGTAGTCGGTGCTACTAATGTTGATTGAATGTAATTTTTCCCTCCCCTTTTGTTTTACGTTTTTCTTTACAGCAGAAGACTGAGTAGTGCTCATAAAAAGAAAAAAAACGCATAAATACAACCTGTATTTCCAGACTTTTGCTGTGCATATCAGCCTTGCACGAATGCCATGAAATCCCAGAATAAGCCCCGTAAGTCTCTTCTCCACGCCTGTAATTCTCTTGCATTTCCGATCATTTCAAATCTGGCTTGATAACAGCCATCTGAGGAGAACAAAAGACATGAATACTGATGATAAGTCTTGCATCTAAATTATGGCTTAATCGGTCATTTTCAAATAAATTGTAGTCTTGTCCAGCTTTAAGTTTCTTCAAGAACGCAACTACTGTGCAACACAAGAGGGCTCAGAGATCTGGTCTTTTATTCCTTGTGCATCCAAATTGCCTGCTAAAGTCAACAGTACTTCGAAGGACTATAAGAAATAGTTCTATTGGCAAAATCCACAGTTCAGCTGTACTTAGGCTTTGTGCTGGACTCAGCACAGAAATGAATTCACACATATATTCACCATAAAAATATCATGCATAGCTATAGTTTTGAGATTGCTATCAGATCCAAGGAAACATTCTTCTATGGCTTTGTATTTTCCTTTCCATGTGGTCTTGGAAGCCAGGGATGAATTGCTCGTGAGATCCTTCATACCTAAGGTCTGTCTTGTTTGACACCTGGTTCAATGAATACATTCAGTTGTGAGGAATCATGGGCCACTGTGCGTTAAGTATATTGATGGCATCCATGTCAGTGTTTCCAACATGTCTGGCCTTGTAGATGCAATTAAATAAGTTACCTAGATTCTTGATAATATTGGACTCTGAAGGAGGGTTACCTGGCCAAGTTATAGTGTCAGTAACAGGAAAGTATCAAGTGTTTATTTTAAAAAGAGCATATCTGTTTTCATGTCCAAATTATCACATGGACACTGAAAGACAAAGGTGAAAGCCTGGCCCTGGTGACATCAGTGGCAACTTGACATCAGTGGGACTGTGGCATTCAATGATCATTCATGTTGAGCTGCACAGAAGCACCTAGACTCCTAACTGCCACCGAAATCAATTAAATCAAAAGAAAACTAGGAGCTTAAATCATTTTGGGAATCTGGCCCTCAAAACTCAAGGTGCTAGCAAAAATTCTGGTTCTTTTTGCATTTATTGCATACAACAATAGATTTGTAGTACCCTACTCAGACTGTATTGGGAAAGCTCAATACCTTAGGCACAGTCCTCCAATACTGCAGGGAGCAAAACTCTCAGTGTGACTTCCATCAGAGAGCAGCATTAGCCCTTTCATCATAACTATAACTCAGTTTTAAACAAAGATTTTAAAGACTGCGTTGTGATGGACCAGCTGATTGGATAGCACGTCTCACCAACCGTGCTTAGGAGGAACTTTTTAGCAATATCGCTAGTTCTAGTTGAATTAATATTTGAGCTATGGATACTCATCACATTCCATTAATGCCATAATTACTTGCATGACTATTAATGGCTATAATTTACAGGGGACTGCTTACTGATTGAATTTTTGGTAATTGAATTAAGATTCCAGCAAGATTAATACAATAATTTCATATGAATTTGCAGCACAAAAGTCCTGCAAACCTTGTACGATGGCGACTATGATAAAATACTTTGCTTCATGATTGACAGGACTTTTGGTGGCCTATGAAGTGGCTGCACTTCTTGGCTTTTTGTATCCCCTCAACAGGGATTTGTTTGGAAGAAATAGAACAAAGCCTACCTAGCTTTCTCGATCAGTGGGCATCTCTGCTATATGAAATGTTGCAGATGGAACATCATTTCTGCCAAGCTTACGTGGGCAGACAAGAAGGTAATACACTGGAGAGGGCACACAGGCCGTGTGCAGACAAAATGAGAGGCACGTGCACACAACACTTTAAAGCAGGCTAAATGCTTTCGCACTGCTTTAATGGTGTCGGTGTTTGCATGCCTCGGTGGTGTATTGTGCATTAATTCTAGCCACTGTAGGAAATTTGGTGGTGTAATGCACCTTAAATGACTTGGGGTGCAGCAAACTAAAACTCCTACAGCTGCAGAGCGAAGCACCGGGTTCCGTGGAGCTCCACAGCTCTGCAGGAAGCCCTGCAAGCAGTCTGGCAGCAGCCGGGGGGAGCAGGCTCTGCCCAAGAAAAGCAATGAGCCAGATATTTTTTTTCCCCCTGGAGCCTGCTTGTCTGCCTGAGCTGCGTGGGGGCCCAGTGCTTCCCTCCGCGGCTGTGGTGCCCCCCGGGGCTGCCCAAACCGGGTGCCTGCAGGTAGGTGCTGCCTGAGGGGGGGCTGCCGCTGCACCAGCCCCAGCCCCAGCCCCAGCTCGCCCCACAGCCCAGGGACCACTCCGCCCACCGACAGCTCACCCTCCCCTCCCTGCTGGAGAGGTAGATAAGTCAGCAGGGTGGGTGCATGACACAGACATTTAATCAGCCCTAAATTGAAGTGGTGTTTTTTCAAACCCACTGCTTCAATTTAGGGCTCCCCTTTCATTCAGACACGCCCACAGTCTGTACTTAGGTGTGTTTGCCCCTTGTATCACACAGGTAATGGAGGAGTAAAAATGTCCTTTGTGAATTTGGCTGTGCTACCCAGACGTTGAGTCCAGGAGTGCAGAAGCACACGTGCTAATCCTGGGGACAGAAATGTCTGCAGGGACAAAGAGAAGGAGGGTATTGGCTAGGGCAGCAGAAGTGACAGAGGGGTTCACAGTCTGATGTTTGTATGGGCCAATATCCAATTACTGCCTCAGACACCCCAACTGGATTTGGCTTAGGGGTAATCATGGAGAGAATTTTGCCTCCTGGTACCATGCTGTTACCCACAGGTCTTCAGGCCAAGCCACAGTCAGACTATTGTTCATTAAGGACTTGATCCATCTTTCACTGCACGCAGAAGAAAGAAGCCCACTGACTTTAGAGGGAAGGAGCACAAGGCCCGGAAGTGTTCTTCACCCTTTTTTCCCCTTACAGCCTCTCTCTGCATGTGGATTCAACTGTGCCTGGTCCGTTACATTTCTCACCTATTTTTAATTGGATTGGTTTTCCCCTGCCCCTTCCTGCTCCTGTTGTTTTTGGAATATATTACAATGAAACTTTTAAACTTACTACTTCCAAGCAGGCCTACAATTAGAGAACAGCATGTTTAGTCCAAATCCAATTGTGTTCGGGTTCCCCTCTCCCTCCTTCGTCTCTGGGAGTTGTTGTCTGGGCAGTGATAAATTAAACCAGGCATCTCCTTTGACTGTGATGGATGGCAAGTATAAGTGATATCCACTAGACAAATGGCTGATTTGTGTACTCTTCCATTTAGGATTAGGCTAATAAGATGTTCATTTATGGATCTATTACTCAGTCATTTAATCTAGTGAAAAAATAGGAGTGGGTAAGTTCCAGCCACCAGGAGTTTATTTCCATGTTTTATGCGATATAGTGAATATTTTCTTGGATAGCCCAGATAGATGCATTAAGAATTTTTCATTAGAATGAAACCTTACCTTTACCTGAGCTAGAACAATAGCATTTCAGATTTCCAGACTTGGAGTTCAATTACAATTTGATTTTATGATAGACCGATTAGGTGCCTTAATGCCAACATGCAACTTAAAGTGTCACTGTCTGGAGCCTAGTTTCCATTCACTCTCTAATGTTTCAGAAACTAGAGACCAGATTCCTTGATCTATCAAACCAGAGCAAGAAGCAAATGTTGCCTCAAATCAGACCCGAATTACCTAAACCTGACTCATCTCAAGCTGGGAGTTAAAATCAGGAGCGTCTCCACTGCCTGGCAATGGGGGACCCTCTTCTGTCTGGTCCTTACATTTGCTAATGAGCATCTAGGGATAGATAGTAGGGGTGTGCAAAGTGGGCCCTATTCGATTCAGATTCAGCCCAAATCAGGGACAGTGATTCAGTTTGTTGATTCGGATCACTGTCCCCAATTCGATTCGGCCGAATCCGAATCTGAAGACTCGATGCTGATTCAGAGAATCAGCGATTCGGACTTAAACACAGCTTTAAAAGCTTTTTCTACATACCTTGAGGTAGCAGGCGCAGCTTGTGATCGCTGCAATGCTGGAGCAGACGGAGCGCCCCACAGGAGTGCAGGGGGGCCCTCCACATGCTCGGCGGCGAACCCAGAAGTGGACCGGAAGTACATCTGGTCCACTTTCGGGTCTGCTGGGGAGCACGCTGGCTTTTCATAAAAGGACTGGCTATAAAAGTTTCATTTGAAAGAATTTCTTAAGCATAAATGGAGTTTTTGATGAAAGGAAGCATTTGGTGGGGGGGGGGGGGGGGGGAGGGGAAGGAATCCTCTCATCTGATTTTGGTGAAAATGACACTATTTCCCAGTCTCCTTTGTGGGTCCCACCCTCTGGCCAATGCACAATGACCCAGACCCTCCGGTGATGCTTTTGGGGCTTACACAGCAGAAGGCCCAACAGAGATGTTTTAAAATCAAAATACCTTGGTTATTCACATTACACTGGAGACACCAAGTTTTCCACAGAAAGCCTTGGGGGTTTTTTCCAGCCAGTTCCTGTTAGCACTTGCCCACTAAGAACTCAATCTACAAACACCTCAAACCAGTGGTGGGGGAGTAATTACCTGACTGTCACCTTGACCAGGGGGGGATTTCACCAACTAACCTTGAGCTGAAAGGTCCTGCATCTGCCTTCCCAATCAGCTAAATCGGGGGATCCCATTTTCAGCCAGTTAGCACATGATTACTCTAAGCCAATTAGTCAGTGGCCAGCGGGTTGCCGAAGAGATCTCTGTGGCTGGCCCAGCCTTTTAGCCAATTTAGAGACAGATTGCTAGAGGGATGTTCTTGTAAACAGACCGCCGAAGGTTATTGTTTCCCTCTTCTTCCTCCTCTGTCCCAGCTCTATTAAGAAACATGTTTTTCTTCTTGCTGCACTTATTTTATTCTTCTCCTTCCTTGCCACAACAGTGGGGATGCATGCTAATGAGACAATCCTCACTCTAACCATGCTATTTCCTTTGGAGACATTTCCTTGGGTACTCAATAACAAACAGGCAGTTTTTCTGCTCGCAGACAGGTCAAGTCACTTGGTTACCATGAGTTATTTTGCTGGTGTGAGTGAGTAGCCAAGCTGGGATTACATATTTCTTTTTTTTCATTTGAATCAGTTTAGCTTTCAAAAAGCAATACGTCTCCAGCGCCTGGCTTCCCAT